TTGGCATTTTAATTTCTGTTGCTGACAAACCTTTTTGTTCTACACAATTTTTATGTTAAATTAATTCTGGATAATTGCATTCTGGCTGCATGAATTTCCCCTTTTTTTTGAGTTTTGTCGGCTCTTTTTGTGTCTGTTGGCAGCATTTTAATTGAACTTGATTGATTTTTGCTGATGTTGTTGATGGAAAAATAATATTGTTGTAAAATCATAACAATTCACGTCAGCAAGGGGAGTGAAAGCCGGCAGCTACACTTTCATCTGTGGACTCAAGCCCGAGGCCTACGAGAATCGAACAAAGCATAAACACCTGTGCTTTCAACCCTTTTTTGGAGCTTTTCCTTTAAAAAGTGTGGCATGTTGAGCGGCCATCCTTTAAACTTCAACTACTTTTTCATGGGCTGTAAGAATTGGGGAAAGGCGAAATAGTTGTCAAACCCAAAAACATTAATATTGGCCAGTTCGCCTCTTCTGAATAGGATAGCATAGTTCAGCAGTTTTCCCACCCCACCTGCAATTAGGCAGCCCTGCAAAGTTGCAACTTTTAGCAGAAATTTATGCAACTAATTTTTCGCATAGTTTTTTATGGAACCACCGCACCTCCCTGCGCAGCAACATCTGCTGCTCTGGCTGCCGAATAGTTTTTGCTGCCAATTAGTTGTTTTAATTGCAAAAACGTTGCCAATTATGCAACACGAGGCGAGACAAGCAGCAACAAGCGTTTGCACCGACACCGACACCGAGACCGAGACCGACACCGACCAAATGACAATTTAATTGCTATGCCCCGAAATCGCGCATACGCCATGTGGCCGCAGGCTCAAACTGCCCGAGGACTCCTTGCACCTTTCCATCGCCTAAAGACAATATCGGGCACATTCAATATATATACGAGTGTATGTGGATGCCTTGCGCCTTTGGACGAGCCGCCGCAGCCATTTCAATAAATCTTGGCAATGCCCTAAAAATATTAGCATAATAAAAGGCGCGACAACAAAACAGAAGGGTCAACTCAATATCGGAGCAACTGGGAGGACGGGGGCTTCCAGCGCATTTGGCACATTTACACAAACAGACGGCCAAGGAGCAGCAGATTTATGTCAGCAACAAGCTATCAGGCGACTGGGATATGTCAGCCACCCACCTCCCCCACAAAACGACCTTAATACGCATAATTTGGGGGCGGACAGTGGGAGGCCGTGTCATATAATGTGCTGCAGGCTTCGATCAGCAATAAAAATTCAAATTTCGCCCAGAGCGCACAAAAAATGTTCGTTCTCAGGGCAGGATGCTCTCGAATGGATACCCTACAAGCGGGGTAGTATGAACGAGCTGAATTCTCTAAATGAGCAAGGGAACTCTTCCATCATCAAAAGCACGGGAAATTAACAAAAACGAACGAAATTATGATTGACAAAGGCTAAGAGTTGGCAAAACCTCTCAGTTCTAGGTAATTCAAAACTCCATCAGCTAGAAAGGGGCAGTGCCTATCTCCTCCTGAATTTTCGTATTAGGTAATGTGTGTGATTGCGTGGATATGTAGATGTTCCTTCTCGCCTACATATAAACATTATATTGCCCGGGGAACGGGAAACGGGAAAGGGGGGAGCAGCCCTGTGCTGCTCGCTCAGCTGAGTTGCCGCCTTCACATTTTGGCCAATTGGCCAACAAGTGTTGCCAAATTGCGTTGCGGTTGCTGGCCATAAATAACGGTACTTTTGTCATTTATACACATAAATTGCAGCAGACGCTGAAACGCGAAAAAAGAGCGCCAGCGAACGCAAGCTCTGCCCAGTAAGCCGCGCTGCAGAAGCGGCCCACGTTACTGGCCATGTCCTGCTTTGGTTAAAATGGTGAAAAAAAAAAATTGAAAAAAAAGGAAAAAATAGCTCGGCACAGTATAGGCCTCTTGCTATTCGTCCAGCCGGGTTTCCAGAGTGCCGGAGCAGCAGAGCACCAGAGCATCAGAAGGCCAGGAGACGCCACCACGAATGCCCACCAACTAACGACATCGGCGACACAACGCAGCTGTCGCTCGCCGTTTGGCAATAATTGTTTAATATGCGGGCGCATAAAGCGGTGGCCCCATAAAAAACAACACAGCGGATTGGCCAGGCGTGCCAGCTGTGGGCCTTCAAAGTGAAATGGTGAAATGGTGGCTGGAATGGCTAAAACCCGGAGAAAGCGGCGCACACACGTGTGTCCTGCGGTCCACTGCCTCTGCTGCAAGCTGTCACGTATTCCCTATCAACTTGATTCGGGCCAAACTTTCCGTTCCCGGAATCCTGAATCCGGAAGCGACATCAATGCCCAGTTGAACTGAATAGGAATAGGAAAAAGTTTTGGAGCGCCCGCAAAAGTAATTGCGTTACAAAATGCCAATGCGGATTGAGGCGCCCCCGAAAGTATGCAGCACACCCTAGCAGTCGAATGCAGTTAATTACGAAACTGTCAAGTCCAAAAGGTGCCACGAATCAAAAGGCCCACACACACACTGGCCAACGGGAAGGCAGATGTGTGGCAAGCGGGTGTTGGAGGGGGCAGAATCGCCAAATAGGCAGATCAGCCGACAAACAGCTGAAACCAGCCGAAATTCCGTATAAAAACAAACAAAAAACACACAAAGCCAGGGGCCGCACGTCGAGTGTGTGTTGCATTGTGCGAACTTTTGACGCTCCTGCACAAACACACGTTTGTGAAATATAATTTTGCCGCATTGTTGTATTAAATGATGTCAACAGCAGCCGTCCAGCTGAGCTCCGGCTACCAATAGCAGCTCGAGTCTCCAGCAGTCGAGTCCCGACCAAATCGAATTTAATTGCATTGCCGCCGCACGTTGGCTTTTAATTAATTTTTGCTGCCTTCTGCTGCTGCTGCTGCTGCTGCAGCCCAGCCAGCGCCCCAAAAAGGTCAAAACGAAACAAGCTAAGCTCACACACACACACACTGGCTCTCTTCGGCCAACAGCCAACAACACACACAAGCGACAGTCGAAGCTCGACAGGCCAACATCAAACGTCATGCACAGGTGCAATGTAATTAGCACGAACTGACAAAGCTCGCCAAGGACCCAGGGTGGGCTAAAAAAGGGTGGACGTGGAATGGGTGCGATGGCGGTGGCAGTGGCAGTGGCAGTGGCAGTGGCAGTATGAAACATAAAAACAAAAGCAAGCAAAACCTTTAAGCCCAAATGCATACAAGCAGAAGCGGAGCGATCCAAACCAATTCAGCCAGCAGCAGCAACAGCAGCAGCCACACCAAGTGGCAGAAACAGGGCGCAAAGGATGCAGGACTACGCCGAGCGGCCAGATACCCTGTAATTATGGCGCTCTCTGAATAAGTTCTTTACAAAATTTCGACGAAACCACTAATCAAAAGGTGCCCTATATGGTAGCTTTAATTTAACAGCCAGCCCAGAAGTAGGCAACACAAATTCGCATTCCGCACGTGAACTTTCTCCGCCCGAAGATGCCCCATAAAAACGCTAGCCAAATCCGAGACTAAGTCGAGCAATCAATTTGGCATACCCCGCTTCGGAAAAGGGTAAGTGAATCGGGCGAAGGGCAGCAGCGGCGGCAGCAGCAGCAACAGCAGCAGCGGAAAGGAAACGGAAACACTGGTGCCGTTTGGTCGTAGCTCCACTGGCAGCGTTTTAATAGCTTTGGAATTCCAATGGCAGCTGTGGCGCCGTCGCCAGCTTCGGCCTCCGCCGCCCAGCGCCACCCAGCGCCACCCAGCGCCACCCAGCGCCACCCATCGCCACCCACCGCCCGTCTGTCCACCCAGAAGCCTTCTAAATGAGCCCAAAAAGGAGCAGGAGCAGGAGAAACAGTGCCAGCAGCGAGCGACGTTCTTGTCGAACATTTCGAAAAATTATTGAGAAATTTTTAATTTTCCCACTTACGCAGGCCAGGCGCACGCGAAGTTACAACAACAACAGCAGCAGGGGCAACAACACCAATGTTGCAGCAACAACTCCGATGTTGCCTGTTGGTGTCAGCTGCAATGGCTGTTCTTGTTGTTGCTTTTATTGTTATTAGCTATGCGAACGTATTCATGCACTTCTGCACCCACAACTGCCATTTTGTTTATGACATCGACGATGGCGTCGCGAAAAGGGCGGAGCGGGCGCGGGGGCGTGGCCGGGGAGTTTGGCAGCTGCTGCAGCTGCAACTTTATGTGCATTTTGGGCATCCGGCTTTTACATTGTGTATTGGAATGCCGGGATCCCAGCGAAACAGAAGTTCACCCGAGAGAAACGAGTAGGAGTACTTCTTTCATTCTGAACCTTTGTTGCATGATGTGTGTGGCCCAAGTAATCCTAATTAGGCATAACAGATATCATAGACCCTTAAGGACTCTCATATATTCCTAGTGAAATGGCATGCGAATTACGATCCTGCGAAATCGAAAAGGAGGCAGTGGGTCGCTCCTCTGCCCGCAACAACTTTTGGCCATCGAAGAACCTTTGGCTTCCCAGGAGCAGCAGCATCGCCATTTTCGCTCCCTTAAAAATGACGCCCAGCTTTGTTTGCCATTTCTTCGTTTTTTATGATTGCCTGCCACAACTTTTTCGCCATCGCCATCGCCATCGACATCGATATTGGTGGCCGTCGACGATGTTGCGCTGCTGCGGTTGCAAGACCTTGCCTTCCTGCTGCTGCCATTGTTTTGTATGGATTTTGCACATCGTTTATCTTAGGCGACGGCCAACGAAGTCGCAGCTGCCGCAAGCGAGCGGAAATGGCGTTAATGTTGCAACAGCACAGCGGCAACTGTAAAAGTAGCAACAGCAGCAGCAGCAACAGCAGCAGCAACTGCAGCAGCTGCCAATGAGCAAGAACTTAATCTTGGGGATTTAACACTTTCGATATATCTTGTGGTGGTAGCAGCATCTTCTGGCCGTAAAACGTATTGGCTCCCATTATCGGTTAAGCTGCCATTTTATGGCCAAGAAACGCGCCCGGCATTTTGGCCCAGCAGCGAAACAACTTTATCCCTATTTGGGCATTTAGGTATTTTGGTATTTCGGAATCAGTCGTTGCTTAAGCGTTGCAAATACATTGGGACAGACAAACGCTCTGCTATATACACAATATACATATACAGTGGCCACAAGAGGGACCTCCTTGCTCAGAGTCCCGCCCTTCCCGAGCGCAAGGACTCGTACTGCTCCTGGCTGAGGGGCTTGTAGATCCCGTCCCGATTCAGGTAGTAAATGGGGTCTGAGAGCCGGCCGATGTCATATGCCTCTTTGGCCAACTCCCGTTTCTTGAGCTTGAAGGTGGCGGTGCGCGGAATCTCGTCCAGCAGTCGGATGAACAAGGGGCGGGCGTAGGTGGGCAGACTGCCCCTCAGCACCACGGACAGGTAATCCATGTCCACCTTGCGGTCCGGATCCACTATCGCTGCCATTCCCGCCTTGCCCTCCACATGGGGGATCTGCAAAGATAAGCGGGCCGATAGTGGAAATCAAGGTTTGCGACTTGCAACTTGTATGTAACTTCAATGTTATCTACATGGCGAACCCAGGAAGGTGACTCAGTTCGACATGGGTAGTTCCCCTAGCTCCACTTGAACAATAGTTAAAAGTATATGCGATCTAGACACATATTTCAAGTTGCTATTAAACGGTAATCAAAACCAAATTCCATTCATCAGTCTCGAGCAGGCATCGTAAAAAATAATCCTGTTTCTGTCCAAAACCGCTTCATGATAAGGTCCCAATTATTTATGATTCCTATGGTGCGAACTAAGAGAACAAAATATCGGAAACATATGAAACTCACCTGTACACCGTAGACCACGCAGTCCTCCAAGCCAACGCAGTTCGTGATGATGGCCTCCACCTCCTGGGTGGCCACGTTCTCACCCCGCCAGCGGAAGGTGTCCCCCGTGCGATCCTTGAAGTAGAAGTAGCCGAGTATGTCGCGCACCACCATGTCGCCCGAGTTGAAGAAGACGTCTCCGGAGGTGAAGACATTTCGAAGGAGCTTCTGCTCCGAGGCTCCCTTATCGGCGTATCCATGGAAGGCACTCACCGCCCGCCGGGCATCGACCTTGCCCACCAGGAGGCCCGCCTCGCCAGGCAGACACCTGATGCAGTGACCCTTGGAGTCCTTGAGCAGCTCACCCGTGTACTCGTCGCAGCGCAGGACTTGGACAGGGTAGAGCCTCGATCCGTAGACGGGAACAAATCCGATGGCCCCCACCCGGTTGGTGATGTTGATCAGGTTGGAGTTGCCCTCGGTGGCGCCGTAGATCTCTCCAATGTGCGGAATGCCGAACTGACGGACGAACCGCGACCAGATCTGCGGCCGCAGTCCATTTCCGTACATCAGACGCAGGTTGTGCTTCTGCTGTTCGGGGTCGTAGGACGTGGCCAGGAGATAGCGACACAGCTCCCCGATGTACTGGGCCACAGTGCAGTTGTGGCGATTGCAGTCCAGCCAGAAGTTCCTGGCCGAGAACTTCTTCCGCAGCACAACCGTGGAGCCATTGAGGATGGCATTGCCCACTCCCACGATTCCGCCAGCGGTGTGGTAGAGCGGTAGGGGATCGTACACCACATCGTCGCTGGATATCCTGAGCATGTAGTAGGATCCTGCGGACATGAAGATGAACCGCAGGTTGGTGATCACAGCTGCTTTGGGCAGGCCCGTAGTTCCCGAGGTGTAGACATAGAGCAGCTTCGAACGAGATTCTTCTGGGCGGGCAGTACTCGGTAGCTGCAGTTTCTTTTGTGTCTTTAGAGCAGAAGCCAAGTCCACAGCTCCTGGCAGAAGATCATGTCCAGCAACGCCGCGTACCTCTTCATCTGTGTATTGATAGATGGGCACATCCTCGAGCTGCTCCTTCTCCCTCAGTGACTTCAGCACATCCAGGAGTTCACTGCCCACAATTAGGGCCTTGGCATTGGCCACTTTAATGGAGTGCAGCAGGGACTCTCCGCGCAGATTGGAGTTAATAAGGGCTGTGATTACCCCCAGCTGGGAGAGCCCCAACCAAATGCAGGGATACTCCAGACGCGTTTCCATCAGCAGGGCCACACAGTCGCCCTCCTCCAGGCCGCGATCCTTAAAGTATCTGGCGATCTTTTGGCTAAACTCCAAGGCCTCTGCAAAGCTCAAACGCCGATCGTCCATCACAAAGCACGTCTTTTTGGGACGACGTCTGGCCTGCTCCTGGAAACAGCGGGCCACGGTGAATCCCCCGCGATCCTTCTTCAGCAGGTATATGTTGAGGGCCACAAAACGCTGGAAAGCCCTAAAAGAGAATGCAAGTTGGTAGGATTCTCCGGGAAATAGGCCACACGTATACCCACTTGAGGTCCCTGGACGCGGTCATCACCAAGGCAAAGACGAAGGTGGGATTTCTTAGCAGGAGAGCCACCACTGCTCCCAGTGTTAGGCTGGCCAAGGCGTTGTCCCAGCAAAAGCCGCCGAAGATGACCGTGGCCACCAGGATGGTGCCCAGCCGGGTGGCCAGCTTCTGCTTTAGGTTCAGCTCCAGCAGGATCTCCATTTTCCCGCCGCCAGCCTGCTCCTGATCCTGATCCTCGAGATCGGCGCGCTCCTCCTTCTCGTTCACTTCAAAGGGCAGGGAACGAAAGCAAACATAGTCGAATAAGTTAGTCAAAAGTAGCTCAATCGTACGAATAGGGTTCTGACTGTAGTGACAGGTACGACAAGGCCTTTTTGAGCACTATGTGGATGCCACCCTTCCGATTCTACAAGTATTCCACTGGTGCCTAGGGCAACCGACTGCGAGTGACTGAGTGATAAGCGCACCATTGCGATACCATAGTCTGATACCGATTTACTACATGGATTGTGGGCTTGTGGGCCGCAAGTTCTTATCAAGTGCCATGAGCAGTACGTGCGGTAGAGGAGGGGCTGTGGGGAAGTGACAAGTGCTTAGGCGTCTCGACTTGGAACGGCTTTGAAAATCCCCTTCATGCACTGAAAACATTTATTCGGTCCCAAGAGTTTTATTTTAATAACTGGTATGGAAGGCCAGATGTAGACATCTACTGCCCTCTCCCTATGATGGCTACGAATTATGTAAGCCAATATAATAGATCATACAAAACATTATCTTACGATCTTGCTTGGCAGAAATGGCTAATTACTTTTACATCATTATTAAAGCGGTTTATGTGGGAACAGGGCTAATTATTTCATACACCATCTATGACCCAAGCGAATGTTCATACCCGTTACTCGTATAGTAAAGGGTAACTCAACCTATCTTAATCGGAATTTTAAGTTGCGTATCTTTAAATGTTTTTGGAGGAATTCTCTAGAAATATGCATTCAAATTTAAAACTAAATTTTTTTAAAATTTTTTTTTGGTAATTTTTCTGATGTTATGATGTGGAAATTTAAAAAAATGTCCCAAAGCTGAAGTTTTAAACTCCATAACTCAAATTATCTTAATCGGATTTTGAAATGGCATACCTCTAAATGTTTCTAGCGCAATTTTCTAAAAATCTACATTAAAAATTTATTTTTTCAAATTTTTTTGTGCTATTTTTGCACTTTTTTATCAGTCTTGAAAATTTCTATCATTGCAAAAATCGTTTTACTATGCCCACTCTACCGCCCACAATCCGCCAAAAACTGTGACGACCACATTTTTGAAAAATTTAACATTTTTTAAATTTTTTTTACACAATTTCTACGTATATTCCAGAAAATGTTGAAATATTTCGATTGCACTTTCACTAGCTGAGTAACGGGTATCTGATAGTCGGGGAACTCGACTATAGCACTCCTGTTTTATAATAGCGACATTGTATAAACAGAAAGTGCAGCCTTAACCCGTGGCGCATGGAAATTTTTGGAGTCTCCAGGTGAATAATCTTCACTAATCTCTTCGATTGCCAAGATTGGTCCGCTGGCTAAGTGGCCCCTGAGAGGGCAATCAGTCGATAAAACTGCGCCAGCCATTGAACCTGCCCTGGTGGGAGCAGCAAAACTGAACTGAACAGAAGTGAACTCAACTGATATCGCGGCGTTTGGGGCTCTTTGTTGTGCCGGCTTATCGCGAAGCGCCAAACAATGAAAATGTGGTCAGAACAGTTGTTAATAATGCAGTTACGTTTTACACAGGTGGAGGGGGGGCAATTGGCAAACTGATGTAATCGGAGCCGGCGAGGTGCACATGGGTTAAGGTAGCTATCAAGTGACGCGCCGATTTCAAAGTTCATTGCTACTTGCGATTATGGATGGGAAATGGGCGCTATCTCTATAAGTCGGCAGTATGACTTATGTTCTGGCGTCTACCTATGCTGGGGACCTTGACTTATTCCGTATGCCAGTCACAGAGTTTTCCCAAGCACTTCTGCGCACACGCAGTTCTTGGCACTGCTTTTGGTCGGTTGATTGGCGGTTGGTTGGCCATGGGCCTTCAAACGATTTACACTACACTTTTTTTGTGCGGCGACATTTTCCATCCCCATGTCACGATCAATGTAATTCACTTTTCAATGCCAGTGCAGAAGCCCCCTAGTGACATACTTTTTATTTGCACGATCACAACGGTAACTTGTACGAAAGACTAGAACACATAGATATATAAGTAGCTGCATAAGCTCCGCGACTGATCTGTTCACCCGTTGGCTGATCAGAAAAATGACTGCTGCTGCGACGCGGAGCCGGCTTTTATACCCTCAGGCATTCGGATTGGAGAGCGGCAGAGAGTAACAGAGCCACAAATGAGAAAGAGGGCGGGAGTACGAACAGCCTCCGAAACTCAGAGAAGAACCTGATAATAACAGATCGCTTAACAGCTGTTGAGTTTACAGCGCCCGTTAGCTTGCTTGAGCAATTACAAAAAACAACAGACCAATTTCATCGCAACTATTATTCAGAGAGTAGTAATTTAAATAATTAGTCGATAATAGGTATAGGTGATAGGGAGCGGACCTTTATACCCACCTGCATTCGGGTGGATGAAAATGAAAAATCGGATGAAAATGAGAGCGGGGAGTGCGACGAACAGCCTCCGAAACTCTGAGAAGAACCTGTTGATAGGGGATCGCTTAACAGATGCTGAGTTTACAGCGCCCTGTTAACTTGCTAAGCAATTAAAAATGAGCATGAGAGCGGGAGTACGAACATCCTCCGAAACTCTGAGAAGAACCTGTTGATAGGGGATCGCTTAACAGATGCTGAGTTTACAGCGCCCTGTTAACTTGCTAAGCAATTAAAAATGAGCATGAGAGCGGGAGTACGAACAGCCTCCGAAACTCTGAGAAGAACCTGTTGATAGGCGATCGCTTAACAGATGCTGAGTTTACAGCGCCCTGTTAACTTGCTAAGCAATTAAAAATGAGCATGAGAGCGGGAGTACGAACAGCCTCCGAAACTCTGAGAAGAACCTGATGGTTAAAGGATCGGTTAACAGCTGTTGAGTTTACAGCGGCCTGTTATCTTGTTTGAGCATTTAAAAATGAGAATGAGAATGGGGAGAATGGGGAGTATGACAGCCTCCGAAACTCTGAGAAGAACCAGATGACAGGTGATGGCTTAACAGCTGTTGGGTTTACAGCGCCCTGTTGACTGGCTGAGCAATTAAAAAAAACGACATACCAATTTCATCGCAAATTTATTCAGAGAGCAGTAAATCATATAAATAGTTGATAACAGGTATACATAGAAAGCCACAGCATTCTACACAAGATGTGTAAACTTCTGGCATTGCTAATTTAAAGAGGCCGCCAAACTCTTGCAGAAGCAAAGTTTGGTCGTTCTAGTTAGCAGCTGGCCTTACCACCTGTTACAGCGATCCGGAATTTTTTAATTAAGCTTTTTTATATGCCAAGTAAAACAGTGCCGGAAAGTAATTTCCCCCTCCCCGCTGCACATACAAACAAAAGCAAATGCTGTGTGAAAATAAATTAACATAGGGCAGCGTCGCTTAGCTGTCAAATGCCGGCAGCACAAATATAAAAAATATGTGCATACTTTCGGGCGGCGCATATAAAAAATGTGCTCATACTTTTTGGCAGCTTTTTGAGTTATCGACGGTGTGAGAGCGAAACTAAGTGAGCGCATATGCGTGTGGGTGTGTGTTGGCGTGCCGGCTGTTCCTGCCGCTCTCTCTGTGTGTGTGTGTGTGTGTGTGTGTGTGTGCTGTGTGCGAGTGTGTGGATGTGGGAGTGGGCGCCTGTAATTGACACATGTTACGCGCACAAAAGAGCCTGCGACCTGGGGCTCAGTCCATCGTTATTATCGACAATGGCGCCGCCGAAAACACACATTCACCCACAGCCCTGCCGCACATACACTCTAGCTCTCCCGCTCCCGCCGGGCCTCCTTCGTGCCTTCATGTCAGATGCCTTTGCTGCACAGCCTTCAAATGCAGGCTCGCAGACACGCAAACTGGCAGCCTCAGTCAACTTTGTTTGTAGCCGGCGAAAACAAAACACACACACACTAGCAAAGGAGAGGCCCAGAAGCACCACACACGCACACAGATAGGGTGGCGACTGTGTGGTACCCATTATAAGGATCCAACAGAGAGATCCTTGAAAGGCCACCTTAGGTAGGCAATGATTCATGTTGGTTAAGTGCGTTTAAATAAAGTAATTACTCTACTCCTTATTTGGTGATTCAGTGTAGCCCACTTTTCGCTGTCGCACAGAGTTCAAAGCGTCGAGCATGCCCGCCAACTCCTGCTTGGCTGGGTATGAAAACAGACCCACACAATTTCACCGGCACAGCCGCTTGCTGATAACGTTAACGTCAGCTGTGCGGCACTTTGGGCCACACGTGAGTCCTGGGTCTGGTTCAGGGCCAAAGGAGCTAGGCCAGGGGGGCGGTGGGTTGTGGGCGGTGGGCGCTGTTCGGTGGGCCAAAGTCGTGCGCAGGCAAGCGTCAAACGGTTTGTACCTTAAGCCCCCAGGCGACGGCATCCCTGCTGCCCGCGCCCCTCGCTCCTCGCACCCTGCATTTGGCATTTGTTTGTGTTGTCAACAAAAGTTTCTTTGAAATCAGTAACAGATGTCGATTGAAATGGCACAATTGCTGCCAGCTCGGCTGCTCAGTAACTCGGTAGCTCGGCAGCTCGGCAGCTCGGTCGCTCGGTCGCTCTGCTATGTCGAGCATCGCCGGGTGGCCGCCACTTATGCTGAATATTTTTATGCCAGACGCACACACAAGAGGGCCCGGCCAAGATATCCGGCGATTCGAGCGGGCTCATTGTGCGCTAGTTGCCTGTCACATTTTAATTAAAATTTCAGCACCCAAGTTTTAATGTTAATGCATTGGCATCGATTGGAGCTGCGAAACAATAGAAGAGGGCCAGGGTGTGGGAGGTGTGCCCCACTCCAGTGGGGGCATCAAATTGGGAGTTTTGAGAGATTAAAAGGAATTTCCTAGCTAAAGCCTAATCGCTCTAAAAGTGCGCCACTCCATATTTGGTCCCTGTTTTCCGGAAGCAGTCTCTTTGCTCGCGATAGGTCTAAGAACTTACAGCCAACATCCTTTGACAACGAACGCGTATCTTCAACAGCTCAGCCCCAATTCTGCAGACTCAGCCCAGCTCGCTTATATAATTAAGGGATTTGCAGGGCATGCGGATTCCGGACCTTGCTGCGCCCAGGACTGTCATCCCTCTTCACCTCGCTGCCTGTTGACAAGCTGCTTCTGCCGCTTCTGCTGCTTCTGTGGGAGCTTGGCTTGTGGCTGCTGGCGATAACAAACGATAACTGCATGTTAAATAGAAGCTAACGAAAGGCTGGCCGGCACAAAGGGGTAATCGAGTGGCTGCGGGCGGGGTAGCAATCCCCGGGAGATGGAAATGGTAGCACATGCCAGCTGGACGTGCAGCCATTTGAATGTGCATGTGAGTCGCACTCGCAGCCGGAAGTGGTAGTGGCAGTGGGGGGAAAGCGGAGGGGAACGGAGGGGAGTGGAGTGGAGCAGTGCTTTAGGAAATCACTCAGGTAGCAAATGCCACCATCATCATCATCATTGTTGTTGGCTGAAGGGTTGCAAAAAAGCGCACAGCATCCAGACAAAGGCAGAGCCAAGCCAAGCTGCTGCCCCTCACTCTGCTAGTGTTGGTGTGTGTGTGTGAGTGGGTGGGTAGCCGCAGGCCATGTGTGTGTGCGTGTGCAACAAATGTTGCGGGCGTCCTTGGCAGGAAGGAAGGGGAGTGGGCGGGGCACTAACGAGCTTTTGCTTGCTCGCTTGCAATGCGACAGCAGCAGGTGTGCCATACATGCACACACACAGGCGCAGATACTCACCCTGGCGCTCACACAGATACGCACACCGACAGGGAGCACACAGCTGAGTGACGATAATTGAAATTTCATCACAGTAGTTTGTGGTTTTGTAGCACACTCTCAGGCGCACACCCGCCTCACACTAATGCGCTTTTCATGGCCTTCTTTTAGGCTGCCAATCGAAATGTTATTTTCTAATTCGTATTTGGAAATGGGAATTCGTATTCGAGACTTCGTTTGGTTTAAAACACTTTATTTCTTGGGTTTCTTTTGTCGGAGCCTTGCGGGCCGCGTTTGTAGGTTTAACATTTACTTGGTATTTGTTTATGATAAAAGTACATTTAGGTTTAGTTTAGGGAGTACAATAAATACTAATCAATAAATTAAACTCGCTCAATAAATTAGCCATAATCGTAATCATATCCGTAGTAATATACTGTATTGTATTAATAAAATCTACTATGTTCAGTTTTTGTTTTTACTCGCTTTGGGCTTTGGGCTGCTTACTTACAGAATTTCACTGCTTCTCAAGTGTTGATTTAAATGATTTTACTTGCTTATGTAATTCTTTATTAGTGTGCACATATTGTTATTAATATTTATGTATTTCTTGCGTGAAAGTGCTGATGGTAAAAATGCGATTTCATACATTAAGTCACAGGTTGAGAATTACTGGATAAATTCCGTAAAATGTTTTGTGAGAGTAATTAATATTGGCTTCCTCTATGGATTTTCAACCCATTTCATTTAACCCGCTCATTACCATGGCTTTCTTGAAACATTTTAATGTATAAACTTTAGTGAAAATGCACATCAATCTGTATCTAATTATGCGTTTGCGTTTCTCGATGTTAAGCATCATCTACTTCATCTAGCGACGATGCCACAATGGATTCTCCTCTCGTTTTTGGTTTTTGGATAACTCTATATTAGCTGCATAATTGTAAGTGTGTATATGGTTTCGTGGTTCACCCCCTTTAATTTGACTAGCACAAGTACTTCTTCTTGGGTTTCATCATGCGAATGCGTCATTTGGAGCCCAACCCGTTGGCCACCAGCGCACCTGGAGTGGCGGCGGCCACAGCGGCAGCGGCGCCTCCACCGCCCCCTCCACCCCCGCCTCCTCCTCCGCCGCCGGACTGCCCTCCGCTTCCCGCGGCCGCACCGCCGCCTACTCCTGCTCCAGGACCTCCGACCGGAGCACTGGCCGCTTCCCGCGCTCCTGCTGCAGCAGCCGCAGCAGCTGCCGCCGCCTGCAGGTGGGCCGCTGAGTTGGGAGTGGGTGGTGAGCGGGTGGCCATCGCGTTGCGCAGACTCAGGTTGCTGGCCGAGTGCAGGTGCTTGGCGCTGAGCTCACTGGCCCGGGAGTTGCCACACACCTGGAAACCACAAGAAAGCGATCATA